AGATTTTTAATTTTACACTTCCAAAAAAAATATTTTCTTTTAAATAAAAAAAAGTTCGTAAAATTTTTGAAGAGTTATTCAAAGAAAACTAATCAGTGCTAAAATTTAAAATAGAGCGAAGTAATATTATTAAATGGGTTTAAATGGAAGATAATAAATCGATATAAAAATAGCTTGAGGTATTATTTTATATGAGTTTTATTTATGAGATTTAGAATTAAATAAAACAAACTAACTGAATTTAATATTCAAAACAGGAAAGAGTAATATCTTTTAATTATTTTACATGAAAATAAAATATTAAGTTTATTTTATTATTATAAATAGTCAAATGTAATATTTTAAAAGATTTAAGATTAATAAAGATGCTCATATAACTGAATTTAATTTTCATAAAGGGAACAACAGTAAAGCTTATAAATAAATAAATAATTAAATTTTAGATTGTACTAAAATAAATTGAATATAAAAAAGGGGGTAGTTATTAAATTATTAAGAGGACTTTACATGAAAAAAGTTAAAAATGTATTAATTAAAATTCAATAAGATTGTAATTTTTTTGAAAATATATCTAAGAAATATTTAATAAATTAAATTTGAATATAGCAAGTAAACAATAAAGAATTGATTATTAAATATGGAAGAATACAAAAACAAATAAACTATTTATTTAAATATGAAGTGGGTACGAGTTTTTAAGGATTCACAGCTTTGATAAACAATTTGTTAAATATTCTTAATAATTAATTAGCGAGTAACTTTAAAAGATATTTAATTAAACTGTAATCGATGATTTATGCAAACAAATAAAAAATATATTAAATAGATAGTAAAATTTTTGATAACATTGGAAGATGAATGAATTCTTATACTATATTAATGATTTATTATAATAGCATGTAAGCTAAGCAAAAATTTAACTCTTATTTGAATTAAAATAAGAATTTTTATTTTTAAAATAAAAAAATAATTAGTCTGTAAAAATTACTTTTATTTAGAGAGCCACAAAAAATTATGCAAATAAATACATTTCCAAAAATAAATAAATAGTGAGTATAAAAAATTAAATTTTATTCAAATTTAAGAAAGCTATTCAATTCAAACTATAATAAAAAAACAGCTGGTAATATTTAAAGATAGAGTCAATTCATTCATTCATTCTGATATAATAAAAGACAGTAAGATTATTTATTTATTTACTTTGAAAAATATATTTAATTATTTACAAATTGAATTATGATAACCCAAATAAATAAATAACTAAATATAGTAAAATTAATTAGTATTAAGGAATATTTTTAAAAAAATATTGTAGGTTTGTTTATTTCCTTTTTAAATATAAAATTAAACAAATAAGAAAAATGAAAATTAAATTTAAATGGAAAATAAAATTTTTAAACAATAAATAAATAAAATTTAGTTAGAGAAGCAAACTGATAGAGTATGTGCTCTTAGAATCAAATTGATAGCCATTAGAATGAATAATACAATATGAATCACATAGAGACACAACTTAATTTATAATGATCAAAAATATAAAAAAGTTATAATGTATAAAATATGTAATAAATTAATATTTATTATTATGTATTTATTTGTTTATTTATATATTTTTATATCTTGTAAACTTCATTTAATTAACAATTTTTTTTTTTTTTAAAGTACATTCATACCATTTTCAAAACTAAATTTAAATTCTTTTTATGTTAAATTTGAGATTACTTTTAATAATTATTTCATTTAAAATTTAAAAGAGCAAAAATAAATTTTTTAGTTATTATAAAATAAAAAATTAATTTTATTAAAATTTATTTGCTAATTCAAATTACAAATTATTTTAAATTTAATAATTAAAAAAAATTAATATACTTTAAAGTTAATTTATTGAAATGTAGAAAAAAGTGTTACAATAATTAAAATAAAAATATTGTAAAATTTATGATTTATTTTAATACAATTATTTTTAAATTGGAAAGTGCTGAATTATCATAATTTATTAATATTAGATTTTAATTGCTTTTAGATATTTTTTATACATTAATTTTCAATATTAAATTTAGCAATAAGTTAGAGATTTATTTATTATAGATTAAGGTGCCATTTTTATTTAAAATAAGCAAAATTTAGTATTTTAATTTAATTTTTCAGAAGATTACAAATTTTTTGGAGTATTTTTATATTATTTTTTTTATATAATCAAAAATAATTTTAAAAATGCAATTTATAATATTTTATTTAGACAAAAATATAAAAAACATATAAATAAAAATGAATTATAATTTTAAACAAGTGCTATATATATAAAGAAGAATTTATAATTAATTTTGTATCTCATTTAGCAACATTTTTAAAAAAATAAATATTTTTTTTATAATCCTTATATAATCGTAAATACAGTACTTATAATTAAAAAAATAATATTATCAACTAAATTTACAAAAATGATTTGTGAATTATAAAGAATTTTTTATGATTGTCATTTTTTATTTTTTGAAATAATTTTTTGATTAATTTTAAAGAATTAATAAAAATTTAATTTTAAAATAGATTTTAATATATTTTACTGAATCAATAAGATATTAAATAAAATGAAATAACTGTTAAAACAAAATACTAAAATTTAATTTAGAATTAATAAAGCAATTTCTTTTAAATTATCGAATTAGAATTCATAATTCAATTTTTTATAAATTTAACCAGTCTTTTGATTTTCTTAGCTTTATTTATATGTCTATTCAAAAAGAATTCTGTTTTCTTGTATCTATAAATTTTTAAAAAATATAAAATTAAAGCTGTAGATATTAATTAAAATTATTTATCAAGATAGACTTAAGCAATATTTTAACTTTTAAAAGCAAATATAAATCATTAAATATTACGGGAAAAAGCATGAAATTACTTTGATATTTTTACAGTTGAGGATATCTTATGATTTTAACAATTCAGATTAATTACTAATTATAAAAAAAACAATTTAAAGATATAAAATAGTTAGGATAGTATTACAGTAGAAAGCACTCGAAATTTAATAAATTTACTAAACCTGATAAGCATTAATCTATTTTTTAATACCCTTCTATAGTAATTTCTATGCAACTTTTTATTAAATATTTTTATTTAAAAATAATTTAAACTAATTTGTAATTTTAATTACTTTATGTACAATTTTAACTCTCTTAGATTTTAGCATTTACTTAAACCTTCACTGAGTGCAATAGATCCTTCATTTCCAACTTTATTTTCTCTTTATTTAATTAAATAAAAATAATTCATTTTATATTTTTATATATCATAATTCATTTTATTTTGATCAAAAAAAAGAATAAGCAAATAATTATATTTTTTAATAAAATTAATTAAAAAATTTATTTTGATTAAAATATTTATTCATATATTCAATAAAAAAATATGGTAAATGCTTGAATGGATAAAAATAAGAAACATATTAATTTACAAAAAGCTTATCTCTAAATTTTTCATTTATGTAAGGGTGCCAAAACCTTTAGCGATATTAGATATTCCTGTTTGACTAATTTGGTTGTAACTTTTCAAAATAAAATAATAAGTACAAAATATTTTATTAAATTGAATTTTATCTAACTAACAAATTTGTTGATTAAATCTAGATAAAATTGTTATATTTATATTTACAATAAATATAGTTATAAGCTTATAATATTCTTCCAGTTATTTAATCCTAAACCAAGTATATATGCGCCTTCATCTCCTATTTTATTGCATCTTTTAAATCAAATTAATTAATAAAATTTATTCATTTAATTGATAGATAGATTTCTTTAAATTAACAAATTAATTTTTTTAAAAATATTTTATTTGAAAATTCTATTATTTATTCCAAAAATAAAAAATTTATTAATTTTCATACTAATAAAAAATAAATTTTATTTGATTATTTAATATTATTGAAAATAAGCAATTCAATTAATTATTTTGTTTTATTTATTGATCTTTATCGAAGATATTAAGTTTTTTTAATTTATTTATTTAGAAAATACCCAATCAAAATTTAAAGGTGCTCAATTCGTTTGAGAGTGTTGATAGCTTCTACTATTTTACATACGCCAGTTGATTTAATTTAATTGTAGCTTAGATATAAAAATATTTAATTTTTTTCATTATAAAAACAAATTTACTCTAATTAAAGTACAAGCTCTCTTAATTTTACACACTTTTTCAAATATTATGCTAAAACTTAAAACACTTTTTTAAGTTATGTTGTTACTTCTATTTTGTATAAAATGTGTTAAATTAATTTTGAAAAAATATTTTTTGTAAAGAAGCTAAAAAAACAAATCTTTATTTCAAATAAAAATAAAGAATATGTCTTTAAGTCAGAATTTAAAAGTAAAATAAATAATAAAAATATTAATTACAACAATTTAACAGTTATATTTTATAGATTTTTAAATACTGGGAAATCCTTGAATAGAAATTATATCTGATCATCTTTAATTATGAATTCACTTTTTTAATTGATATATTAGAAGTTCTAATGAGTTAATTTATATCAAATATAATAATTTGTTACTCAAAATCTAAATTCAAAGAATCAATTTTAATGCACTAAGATAAACAAGTTTTCATTTAATTTAATTCTTAATCATTTATGTTTTTACTTTTTATTAAAAATTAATTTCTAAATTTAATAAATCTTTAATAAAAAATTATTATTTATTTAAAATATTAAGTGGAAATTTTATTAAAATTCAAATTGAAATTAAAACAAATATGACATTTACTTAAATTTTAAACTAGCATTTTTTAAAGTACTTAATTCAGAGTTAGTAAACTATAAATTATTAATAAAATCATTTAGAAAAAATTAATATTGTAATCAATAAATACATCTGTAAGTTTTTGATATTTGCAAACTTTTTATTCCATTTCTTTTTATTGTATTTTATTTTATAAAATGCAAGAATGTTTATCCTTAATTTTTGTTATGAATTAATTAAATAGAAAATTTTATTTTTCAAATTGTTTTTTAGTTAATAAATTTATGTTAAATATTAGAATGAAAATTTTGCCAATAATTTTAATAATTGTTTAATATGAAACAAAATTAATTTAAAAGATAATAAAAAATAAAATCAAAATTAATTTCAATAAAGTAGGAAATAAATATTTAGAAGAATAATAAATATTGTTTTAAAAATATAAAATAATCAAAAAACGTAAGATTTCGAACATGAACAAATTAAAAAAATAAAAAATATTTAATCAAAGATTTAATTTAGGACTTATAAAAATAAAAAAGAAAGTATTAATTAAACTGTTCTATTTTTCTATTTTACAGTATATATTATGTTTGTCTGTGATAATAACTAAAACGTATCGAAACAAATTAAAATATTACTTAAAATTATATTTAGAAATAATTTTATAAATAAGAATTATTAATGAAAAAATTTATCATATTTTAACTAGCCTTTTGATTTTAAGTTGGTTTTATAAATGCTTCTTCACTTATTAATCATTTGAATCCCATCTATTTGTTAGTAAATTTTTATTTAAAAATTGCATTCAATTAATGGTTATTTAATATTAACATCCTCAAATAAATAAGAAAAGAGTTAATAAATTGAAATTATCAATTAAAATTAAAATACGTATAAAATATTAATAAGATTAAATTATTACTGGATACATAGTTTTAATTGTTTAATATTTTTACAATTGAGAATCTCTCTTGACTAAAGTAATGTTGAGTCTTAGCTAATATTTTTAAATTAATATTAATAAATTTTTTAATCAACTCTTTTACGATAAGTAGCAATCCAAATAAAGCAAATTTGCTAAGCCTGATATACACTAATCAAGTATTAAATATCCCTTTTCAGTAATTTTTTTACATCTACAAATTAATTTATATAAAATTTTATTTTAGTAAACCAAATAATTAATTAAATTTTTAATTTAGAAGAAAGCATATTCCTAATTAAGTTTATTGTAAAGATATTAATTTTATTTACTCTAAGTATAGTAATAGCTTAGTGAGATTTGTACAGCTACTTATACCCTAACTTATAGCTAATGCTCCTTCATCACTAATTTCATTTCTTCTTTATTAAAATTGTAAAAAAGTATTAAATCTATTTTTTTTATTTAAAAATTCTATTATTTATTTTCAAAATTTATTTCTAATGAAACCATAATTTAAAATTTATTTATAATTTAAAAACTAAAAAGAAATAATTTTATTTATTATGTTAACAATTAAAATAAGCTTCCTTTCTAATTTTCTTAAAACTAAAATAAATTATGATCTAAGGTAGATTTTACTAAAAATTTTAAAAATGAAAAGCAGATTGATTTAATTAATTATCTACAAAAAACTAATTTCTAAAGTTCTAAGTTATGTTAAGTATCTCAAACTTTTTCCTAAATTAGATACTTCTTTTACACTAATTTAATTATCACTTTAAAAAATTAAATATAAAATTAATTATTAATAAGATCTAAATAATATTTTATTTGGCTAATAAATTACTATAAATAGAGTTGCAATCTCCTAAGATTATCCCATTTGCTTAGACTTAAAGTAATTATATTTGCACCTTCATCTCCTATTTAATTACCACTTTTATTTGTTATTAAAAAAACTTTTTATATTTTTCTTGAGAAAATCATAAAAGATTCAAAGATAAATTGAATTTATTTTAAATTATTTTATAATAATTTAATTAACTTAATTTTCTATTTATTAAATCAAATGAAAAAAATTTTGTTTATATTTTTCAATTAATTATAATAATTTTATTTAAAAAGAATTCGAACTCAATTAAACAAAGCCAATAAATACCCTATCTAAATGGAAAGATACTATAAATTTTTAAAACTATTTATAGCTTCTACTAATTTAGATGTTCCAGTTGATTAAATATTATTATTACTTTTATTAAATTTTATTTGTTTTTTAACTAATTTTAACATAAAAAATAACTTACTTAAACTTCAGCTTAAGTGATGTCAATTTTTAGCACTTTTTCAAAAATAATGCTATACTAGAAGCTCCTTCCTAGTAAATACTACCACTAAAATATTTTTATAATCGAAAAAACCAATTATTTACTTTACAATATTTTTTAATATCAAAATAACAAAAAGAGTTTTTATTATTTTCAATATAAAAATAGGAATTCTTTTATTATTTTAATCAATTAAATAATAGAATTATGGTTTAAAAAATTACAAAAATTAAAGTGAAATAATTTCCAAATTTTCATAGTCAGGTAAATCCTCAAATAGTTATATTATTTGTCTAAATTTCATATAATACCTTTATTTAAAGAATTTATTTATTAGATTTCAGTTTTATGGTTTATTTAATAGAAAATTTTACAAAATTTTTAATTTCAACATTTGTAATTTAGTGCATTATGATAGAGAAGATTTGAAATGATTAAATTCTTAATCATCATTCATCTCTTTACTTTTTATTTAATAATGATAAGAGTAAGATTTAAGTATTTATTTTTTAAGAAAAATCGATTGATTGATCAAATTTTAAAATATTTAGAAAAGCTAAATCTATCTTTTTAACAAAATTTTACTTAATTTATAAATGAAGATGGGTCAAAGTGTCAAAGTTAGTGCTTCTAAACTTTTTCATAATTAAATTAGTTATTTGAAAATCTATTTATGAATTAAATAATAAATACATCTTGAATATTGTTGTATTTTTAAATTTATTATTCCATTTTTTTTGGCAATGACATTTTTTTTATCTTTATGTAATTGATATCAATTAATTTTTGTTTTTTGTTAATCAAAAAAAAATATATGTATTTTTAATGAATAAGATTTTTATTGATTAACTATAAAAATTAATTTTAAAAAATTAAATATTTTTATCTAAAATTTTATAAGTTTAATTGTGTTTGAAAAAATAATAATATATTGTATTTATTATTTCTTTTACAAATAGAAAAACATAAATTTTTCTCTCACTTAATAATTCTTTGAAAATTAGTTTTAATTATTAATTACTTAGGGAATGCCTTAATTAATGAGCATTTACAGTATAAATTTTTGAAAAGCATAAAATTAATGAATTAGCAAACTAATCATTAATAAAACAATTTAGAAAAAATTAATATTATTCCATTTCTTTTTATAAAATGCAAAATTAAAATTCTTAATTTTTGTTAACAATTAATTAAATAGAAAATTTTATTTTCAATAATTTAGTTAGAATGAAAATATTGCCAAAATTATAATGTTTGTTTAATACGAAATAAATTTATTTATTAGATAACAAAAAATAAAATAAAATAAGTTTCAATAAATTCAAATTAAATAAATGCATTTTTAAGATATCAAGTTATTCAAAATTATTTTCATTTTATAAAATAAATAGTTATTTGTTAAAAAAAAAGATTTCAGTAAAAGTAATTTAATTATAATAAAATAGATCTAAACAAAATTATAAAAATAAAAAGTAATTTAAAGCTGTTCAACATTCAAATTATAGATTTGGAAAATGTTTAACTCATTAAATTAATTATCCAAGGATAGTTAGAACTTTATGAAAGTGATATTTTTGTTCAGTGCTGATAATTTGGTGAAGGAAAATAATTTTTAGACTATAAGCTTTTCTTACTCATCTTAAACTCGTATAATAATAAATATTAAATTCTCTTAAGTTATAACTTGATAAAAATCATCATCAAAAAAAATATTTTGAAATTTTTATTTTTATGAGAAAACATAAATAATTTTCATTTTTATATATATATTTATATTTATATTATATGTAAAGTACTCAAAGTACTGCCTTACATTTTTATCAGGTCATACAAATAATTATTACGATTATTAATAGTTTAAACACAAAATATATAGTTATGCAAAACAAGAAAAATTAATTATTTCAAAATTAATATTGTTATTTTAATTTGGCTAAATTAGTTTTATCCAATAGGCTTTTTTGTAAGCAGGTTATCGTTTTTTATTTGGTATATTTGTTTGCTACTAATGAAATTGTATATTTTTACATATTAATTTATAGATGAAAGTTTGATTAGTTGGTGTAAATTTAATTAAATCAGCCAACCTTCCCAATTATTGAGTCAAAATTGAGATAATTAAATAATCAAATAACATTTTCTATAATTTTTCTGTACTTTTTAAATCAAAGACTCTATAAATTATTAGGTTTTTTTAGCTGATCATTTCTTAAAATTAGAGATTTTCCAAATATTTAAAACTAAATTTTATTAGTCAAAATATTCAAAACACTTAGCATTAGAAGAAATAAATTTCGACTAAATTGTAAATTAGGTTAGCCATAATTTACAATATATACACTAACATTAATAATTTTCAAAATTTAGATATTTTAGTAAGATGTTATTTTGTTTTATAAAACTCAATTTAATTAATTAATTAATTTATTTATTTAATTTATATAATTTATCAGCTTTTGTTTTTTGCCATTTCTTTAATTTTTTGATGTTTTTTAATTAAAAATCTAACAAATTCCTTTATTTCTTTGAAAATTATGTAAATTTCTTATTTGCAGATAATAAATAATTCATAATTGAATAGAATGCTAACAAATTTATAATAAAAAAATTTTCAAGTTCACATAAATTTTTCACACAAAAAACTAACTAACTATTCAAGTTATTTTTTTTTTTGAAATAATAAAATAGTTGATTGACTGAGTGACTGAGTTATTTTTAATCAAATATTAATTAGATAGAATTAATTACCTATCAAAAATTAAAAACACATTTTACTCTTTGGTGATATTGAATTCCAAGCTCCAAATTTAAATAATTTTTGATTTAAATTTATATCTACCTACCTGCCTACAAACCTATTTTCTTATTTATATGTTTCTTATCACAGATTTTTCTATAAATATATTTATTTTAGAATAGTGAATAATCTAAATTATTATTACTTTTCTGTATGTATGGATAGGGATTATTATTTATTATTTTTATAAAAGGGACTACTACTTTAGATTGACTTTCAAAAGGAAGAGAGTAAGTATTTAGTAAATTTTAATTAATTAAAGTTCTTTGATTTTCAATTTTAGTTTATTTAATAAAAATATTTCAAGGTTTAAAAAATAATAATTTCAGAACCTTTTAAATAAAAAAAATAATAGATTTTTTTTTTAATAATACTGCTATTTAAAAAAATAAATATAACTAACTATATTCATTTGGATGCTATATTACTTAAATATATCATTTATATTAATGTATCATTATTCTTAAAATATTTTGGAAAAAGTGAATGAATTTTAACAAAGTACTATTTATTTGGCTTCTCTCGAATTAATTAATTATTAATTTAAATATTTTTAAAATTTATCTTAAATTGAAATTACAACATAAAATTGATTTATTAATTCATAACATACATTTTATCTTACATTTATAGATAACATAAAATATAAAATAATATCAAATTTTTACAGTTATTTCTTTTGCTTTCTTCAAAGTATTTTTCAATTAATCATAGATTACTTTCTATTCTCCTTAAGATAAATTATTTTGCCTAATAATAAATAAATATTCATTAATTATTAGAAAAGAAGAATAAAATAAAATAAAGATAACAAGAGTTAAATTATTTTAAAAGTAAATAAAAATTTATTGATTAAATAATTATATTAATTGCTTAATAAATTAAATACCTAAGATCTAGAGTTAAATTAGTGATATTCTAACACTTTTCTAAAGCTGAAGCTATTATTTTAGCTAAATCAAGATTAACATTAGACTGACTATTAAATTAAATAATTAAAATTAAGATAAATTTATTGAGATGTGATATAAAAATAATTTTAATATTATTTTAATAAAATAAAAAAATTAATTCCTTATAAAATATATTTAATTTTACCTGAGATGAAGAGTTAAATTTGTGATTTTCTGGCACTTTTGCAAAGCTGATAGAATTAACATAATTCCCTCTTGTTTTATGTTAGTGTAACTAATAAATATTAATTAATAAATTAATTAAAATTAAAGTTTATTAAAATAATAATAAAAAAATTAGAAAATATAAAAATAAATTACTAAACACATAGAGTTAAATCAGTAGTATTCTGATATTTTTTTAAAGATTCTGAAATTTATCTGATTCCTTCTAACTGAAGATTATTCTGTCTAATAAATAAATAAAGAAATAAATAAATATATTTCAGCTTAAAATGCAATATTAATAAAATTGATATTTACTTATGAAATAAAGATA